GGGGAGTGGTTAATCTTACAGTCCAGAAACAGAGGACCCTAGGATCATCAAGGGAGGAGAGCACAAGTGGAATGCGAGACCTTATCCTGAGAAGCAGTGACACCAGAGATGGAGGCAGAGATGAGGACATGGAGAGAGGGAGCAGCTGAGGACTCTAGACTCATAGAAAGAGAGGGACTGAGAGCTGGTGGACAGGAGGCAGAATGTGCACTTTGGTGGTGTAAATTATTATATATGCCTGAGTGTTTTTAAAAAAAGCTAAAGTGAAGAGAGAAACACTGCTAACTGATGGTATGTGGAATGGATTATAATCAATGTAATGAAACAAGGTGTATGGTTTGTTGAATGTAAAACTGATGATCTGCCCTGTAAACTTTCATTCAATCCACAATAAAAACCTTTAAAAAACAAAACTCCTTTAGGCTAGGTGCCTAAGCGTAGTAAGAACGACTGAGTCCACATATCTCAAGGAACCCAAGGTAACAGCAGAAGCAATTTCTCTGATTTATTCCTCCATCTCTCTGGGATGCTGAGAGGCTTGTAAATCCACTCCAGACACCACGGTTTTGCTTGACATGCATAATACTAATAATTACCTGTTAATATTTAAAAGTAGGAAAAATGCAGATAAAAACATGAACCACTCTCCCCCCAGGCCCGGCCACACTGCTCTCCTAGTCTACTCGCACACCACACACTCCACGCAGGCAGCACCCCGTCCCACACGTGAGGACTTTGCTTTAAAAATATATCCCCACCGCTCGCTAGTCTCCAGGGAGAGTCAAAGAAATACCACAATTCAGAGTCTTATTTTCTTTTTCCGAAGCGACTCTCTTTAAACTTTAGTTTGTTTGGAAAGACCACGTCAGCCATCTCTTTTCTCCTGAAGGTTCCTGCATCTCCAGAAGAGACGGGATCGGCAAGGGTCCGGTTCCCGCCCCCAGAACCCCTCACTCTACTGTCCTAGAAGGGCTCTCTCCGATCGCCGGCACGACAACCCGTTGCCCAACGCCCTTCACTCACTTTAACCACAGCACCCGAGGTGGTGGGGAAGCAAGGCGCGCCGAACACCGAAGGCCAGGAAGGCGCCCAAAGCCTGGCTTTTCAATTTACGCGGGATCGGCCGCGCCCCGCCTCCCAGCGGAAGTGGCGTCAGTGCGTAGCTCCAGACGCCGGGTCCGCCTCCGGCGTATCCTATTCGCTCACTTCGCTAAATGGTGATAGCCGTCTAGTAACCTATACCTTCTCTAGACTCTGCGTTTTGCAGTGCGTTTAGGAGGTTTGGTCTCACCGGGGCTACTAGTTTATATAGAAACTTCAGGGCTAACTAAGCTAGAGCTTGAGTTGTAGTATTTCTCTGAATCTCCTTTAAGAGGTTACCAGAATGTAAATTTCGTGCGTGACTCAACACAAAACCAATGCAGGCAAGCACGCTGTGTGAGGACTCCTGGTGCGGCGCTGTAGTATCAGCACTGGACTGCGGGCCACAAGGGCGTCAGTTCAAGCCCACCAGCTGCTCCTCCCAAACCCCATACAGGATCACTGTGAGTCGGAACCGACTCGACGGCAATGAACAACAACAACACTGAGTGAGGAGACAGAAAAGTATTTCATCACTTAAGCATAAGCAAGGAAATCAACAGTTTTAGCACTCTAAAATGCCCCCTTCAAATGGGTAAATACACAATTCATACATGTTTGGTTCTTGTTGTTAAGTGCCATCGAGTTAATTCCTACAGGATGCAGCTGGTGAGTTTGAACCACAGACTTTGGGGTTCAAACAACCTAGCGGTCCAGTTCTTATCCTGCAGCGCCACGCCATATGTTTGGTAAAGTTAATTGTTAAGACTATAGGTTTTCACTTACAAGAACAGCTATTTTGATCTATGAAAGGAACAAAGAAAGCCAAGTACAGCTATAAATGTACTTTAGCTACCTAAAGTGCCCATACAGCTGTAAATCTCATCTTTACACCAGAGGAGTTGATGTAAGCTCCCTTTAGGTCCCGTTCTTTCAGTCTAACCTCTTCACAAAGTTACCTATTAGAATCTGCATACTCTGCCTGGAGATTTTAATACTTTTTTTCTGTTACACACTAAGTCATTAGAAATGGGAAGGGAGGGTGAGTTTATAAATCATTTAACTAGTAAGTTGGAAAACTTCATAATCACAAAAAAATGGGTCTTATGGGACAAAAACTTTGAAGATTTTGGTGGCCATTTGGTTATGCTTCCAGATCCCATAATAAGGAGTTCTGGAAGCATGGTGGTTACAGTTCGAAACTACCAGCTGTTCCCCGGGAGAAAGAAGAGGCTTTCTAATCCCATAAAGATTTACAGCCTCAGAAGCCCTACATAGGGTTGGTATGAGTCGGAACCACTCCACGGCACATGTGGAAAATGTGGAAAGAGTCTTAGGACAAACAACAAAATGTGCAAAGAGTCTTA